ATTCAGGCTAATTATTGAAATGTGAGAGTTCATCCCTATCATAGAGTTCTTATATAGTTGTTGTTCTTCCACTTGGTTTTTTTGTTTTTTGGGGGTTTTTTTGTCTTTCTTTTGGTTTTGGGATTGGTTCATGTATATTTTATTCTTTTCCCTGTACTCTGGTGAAGAACGTTGTTCTTTTTTCCTTTTCTTCTGTGTTTAGTACTTTCTTAAGTACTTCATGTAGATATGGTTTGGTGGCAGCATAATTTCTTAGGGATTGGATATCTGGGAAAGATTTTAGTTCTCCCTCACTGATGAAGCTTAGCTTGCCTGGGTAGGTTATTCTTGGTTGAAATTGTTTATCTTTTAGGACTTTGAAGATAGGGCTCCAAGCTCTCCTAGCCTGCAGGGTTTCTGTAGATAAATCTGCTGCTATTCTGATTGATCTTCCATCGGTAGGTGATCTGGCCTTTTTGTCTTGCTGCCTTTAGGATTTTTTCTTTTATGCCTACTTTGTTTAGGTGAATTATTATGTGCCTAGGAGTTGGTCCTCTCATTTGTTGTCTTGCAGGGGTTCTCTGAATCTCTTGTGTTTGAATTTTTGCATCACTGGTTAGATAAGGGAAGTTTTCTTGAATGATCTCATGGAAAGTTTGTTCCAATGTGGTCTCTGTCTTTCTTTCTGCCTCAGGGAGTCTGATTACTCTTAGGTTAGGCCTCTTGAGGTAATCGCTCATCTCTTGAAGGTTTTGTTCTGTCTTTTTGAGCTTATTTTCTGTGTTTTTAAGAGTTTGGGTTATTTCTATATTTTGTTCCTCAAGCTCTGAGATTCTTTCCTCTGCTTGGGTAATTCTGCTCTCCATGCTTATCAGTGTGCTATTTATTTCATTCACAGTATTCTTTATTACTGTTATCTCAGATATCAGCTCCTTCCTAGTTTCTTCTTGTGTCTCCTCAATTCTTTTTAATCTCTCCAGTATTGTCTTGATATCTACGTTTGTAGTTTGAGACCCTTCATTCTGGGGGCTCTTCGTTGTTTGCATTCCAAAGTCAGTTTTCTCAATGTCTGCCCTCCCAAGGGTCTGGGAGAGACCCATACTCTTCTTTTGGTTTTTCTTCATTTGTGTAGATTTTTCTCTCTCTCCCCCTTTCCCTCCCCTTCTTCAATTCTGTTTTTGAGGGAAGGTGGGGTTGTTTTTATTTCTCTTCTGCAATGTCCTGTTCTTCCTTATGAGGGTCTTCTGGCTTTGTTCACTTTTCAGGTTGAAGCATAGGCTGCACTCTGTACATCTTGCAGTTTTGAGGTTTAATTGAGAGGGAAGCTGTGGTTCAGAATGCTGATTCTAGCATCCACAAACAGGTGTATGAGCACACTGGAACCTATTTCCCTCTGTCTTACAATCTGTCCATTCAGCAGTATGTAGTCTTGGTCCCTAGATTAAAAAGGGAGGTATAAAAGAGGAAAATAAGGGAGGAAGGGGGGTCAATAGGGAGTCAGAAAGATAGAAGAGCGAGAGGGAAAACAGATATACATACCAACTATCAGGTGAGAGAGAGACACAAGGACAGGAAGAAGTGAAGAAAGACACATAAGAAAGATTCCCTAAAGAGTACTGAAAGCTACACAGAAACAGGCCAATAAAATCAAGAAACAGTGTAAGTCAGAAGGCTAACAACAAACGTGATCAAAACCAACAGTTACAATGACAAAATCATAAGTCAAAATAAGCAATCAGACTAAAGTCACTTCTCTGATCTCCAATTCTAGCCTCTCCCCTTTGTTTTTCATTGCAGCGTAGGGGTGGGGCTTTGTCTCCTGTTTTGCACTGTTGCCTTAGGAACTGAGATAAAATTTGTTGATAGGTGGGCGGGGTAATGGAAGTCTCTGCCTGGAGAATGGCGAGGCAGTTTATGCAGATCTGTTTTTCTCTGCTTGTCTGGGTCCCCCAGCTTGGGGTCTTGTGCTGAGTGCCTCAGCCAGGGTGGGCCCGGAGTTCCAGAGCTCCAAAGCTCCAAAGGGCAGGCTGTGAGTGGCAAGAGTGGCCTTGGGCCCTCCACAGGGTACTTCAGCCAGGAATGGGACCGGTGGCTCTGAGGGGCGGGCGCCCAGAGCCTCCCTGAGTGACCAGCGGCTTGGTGCTGGGTGCCAGGCTGGAGACAATGTAGCCGGGAGGGGACCTGGTGGGGGTAGGACCCAAGACTCCCACGCACACAGTAGAACAGCAACAGCAGGGAGCCGCAATATCTGGCCCTGCATGGGACCGAAGGTCCCCGGGCCTCGCACCAGCATGGCTGGTGGTGGGCTGGGGGATGGGGGAAGAGAAGTAATAGTCTTTTTGGGAAACTCACGTTCGGAGAATCTCACCAGTTCACCTATGCTGTGGCCATCTTGTTCCCGTCTCTCCAACATTTTGTTAATTCAATATTTATTAGGGACCTACTATGTCCCGGGCACTGTATTGGGCACTGAGAATATAAGGGTGAGTGAGGGAAATTGGCTGCATGCCTGCCATGTGCCTGGGGCTTGTTGTCTACTGGGGAAAGCAGACAGGATAAAGAGCTAGAAGTACAATGATCAGGCGGCAAGGGACATTTGACTGGAGCATGTGACATGGTGGAGGAAGAAAGTCACTGGGTCAAGGAGACCCAATTAGCTAGGGTAAGCTAACTGCTAAAACAGATAAAACCTCCAAATTATAATGACTCAAACACAATTGTAGCTCATTTTTTACTCAGTAAACAATCTAAGATAGTTCCAGGGATGGTGGGGATAGAGGGCCATGGTTGCTGTTTCTTCAGATTCAGGCTGGTGGAGGTGCTGCCATTTTTACCTCCAGGTTGCCAAGGCTGCCCCGGGCATGGACACCTCCCATAGGCACATAATAAAGAACCTGTTCACTCACTCAGGAAGATTTTTATGTGTGTGACACTTTCAGAGGGATAGGTCCCAAGACCCCCACTGGATGCCCAAAACAGGATAGTACCAAATATGATCACCATTAATCAGAAGACATTTCTGTCATGTCTTCCACCCACAGATTCAATGCCTCTTCATCTTTTTTTTTTTTTATTTTAGAGTTGTGTGGCACATGTGAGGATTTGCTACTAACTGATTTTAATTTAAAGTAGATTATGTAAAGGTGAGGTTTGGGTTTTTCATCTTAACTATGCACTCATCATACACTGTGTTCACACCTTTTGCAGTCTGAGGTGTAATGGCAAAACTAGCTGGAATTTCTTTTCCCTTCTTTACAGTTTCACAGATACAACTTTGTTCTTACCATAGATCTTAGCAATCTCAGCATACATTTTTTTTTTCTTTTCTTGTTAAGTTGAGAACTTTCCCGTTCACTTAAAGGAAACACTTTATGGCTTCTCTTTGGCATATCCAAATTGTAGGAATCACCACTTAGGGGCCATGACTAAGTAAAACAAGGGTGACTTAAACACAAGCAATGCAATACTGCGACAGTGAATCTAATAACCTACATGGCTCCTGAAGGTTTAAAGACAGCCAGTATAGACAGCATGGATATTCTTGGACAAAGGCTTGATTCACATCCCAGGCATGGACAGGGTAAGATGGGACAAAATTTCATCATGCAACTCAGAGTGGCACATAATTTAAAACCCATGAGTGGTTTGTTTCTGGAATATCTACTTAATACTTTTGGATGGAGGTTGACTAAGGGTAACTGAAATAGCAGAAAGCAGAACCATGGATATAGGGGGACAATTGTATCTTACTGGCCAGAAATCAGTCACGTAGTCTCTCCTAACTACAAGGCTGGAAAATGTAGGCTTTGTGCTCAGAGAAAAGGGGAGGTAAGTTTCAGGAACAGCAGCAGACTCAGCTACAAAATGGTTTCAGAGGGTAAATGGGTGTTGGCCAAGTTCAAAGCTTTTCTATATAATCCCAACTAGGGTAACCCACACAGCTGAACTGATTTAGTTTAAATAATACATTTTGGGATTATACACAACATCTTACTTAAAAATTGAGCAGCCAGGCACAGTGGCTTACGCCTGTAATTCTAGCACTTTTGGAGACTGAGGAAGGAGAATTGCTTGAGCGCAGAAGTTTGAGACAAGCCTGGGCAACATAACAAAACCCTGTCTCTACCAAAAAAAAAAGTTTTTTAAAAATTTAGCTGGGCATGGTAGTGTGCACATGTAGTCCTAGCTAATTGGGAGGCAGAGGCAGGAGAATCGCTTTAGCCCAGGAGTGGAGGCTGTAGTGAGCCACGATCGAGCCTCTGCACTCCAGCCCGGGTGACAGAATGAGACACTGACTCGAAAAAAAGAGCCTTTCTTAATCCTACACCTGGTTCAAAGAATGTATAGGAAGACTGGTGATAGAGTGGGTGCGATTGGTGTTCTCATCTATAACAATTTGTTACTGATAAAGCTTCTTAGCTGAGTTATAATTGGAAGGGGAGTATAGGAATTGTATACACATTTGTTGTTTGGTAAGGTCCTTAAAGAGGCTAATTGCAATGGAAAAAGCAATTTGGCAAGGAAAAATTATCCTGGCATCAGACTCAATCTTGACTGACTGCTCAAAACACCAGTGCAATAAATGTGTAAGTCTGAATGATGGAAAAGAAGGAGAGTCCTTGTCACCCTGGGCACCTTTGACACCACAAAAAACTTTATTTTGTTTCAAACTGTTGGTAGAAGTGAAATTTTGTCTCTAATAGTATACTTCGAAAGCTTTAAGCTTCTTGTTTTTTTTCCTTCCCAAAAAACTGTACCTGGCATCTCACTGCAAGGCTCGATTTCTCAGAGGAACCTAGCCGGCCAGTAGAAAATGGGTGCACAGGGACTCCAGAATCCAAACAATCCTGCTTTCTGCAAGTAAATCCATCTTTCTTTGCTAACTTCCTCATACTAAAAAACAGTGAGACATCAATACCACCAAAACCAGCAATCCCAGAGTCAGTGTGGGGAGCTGATTAAGACTCAACTGTTTAATGATTCTGGAGTTGGCACAAGCGCTAAGTTTGAGTTCCATCTCTGCCTCCTACTTGCTGTTACCACTCTTCCAAGCCTCAGTTTCCTCATCTGTAAAGTAGGGACAATAACACCTAGCTCAGAGAGTTACTGTGACTAGGTGTCTGGCCACTCAGTAGATAATAAATAGTAGCTATTATTATTAGTTTCTGATTCCCTGAAATTCCATTCCATTTTACAAACGTTGTTGAGCACCTATTGTGTACGTGAATAAATCCAAGTTCCTGCCTTTAAGAGATTTACAATCACTTAGAGAAGTGAGCTGCTGAAAAGGCTTTAAAAGAACCCAACGATTCTGACATTGGGGAAACATGTCCTGGAAAGACAAGACTTTGATTAGGATCTTGCAGAGAAGGAGCCAGATAAGCAGAGCAAGTATCTTGAAAGATTCTGAGATTTCATTTCTCATCTCTCCCTCCTCCGCCAAAAAAGCCCCACAAGGGTAATGCCAGACATGGCCTCTGGGGTTGATTAGCCTTACATTCCAGAATTAGACATACATTTGAGATAAAACCATTTCCCAGGGAAGTCACACTGCAACAATCACACTGAGACATACATGTCCTTACAGATCCTTTCTGCATAGCTGGATTTAAAAATTGAAAATACACAGAAGGATTACAAAAAAGAAATGAAAAATTATTCTACAACTTTGCTGCTTTTAGCTTAGAACAATAGGCACTGTTAAATTAAGTTTGGTCTAATACTGCCTCCTTACTTATTTTTAATTGGGCCTAATGGTTTCTCTGTACAAAGTGGATGTAATCGGCCTAGATGTGTAAACAGACTGATCTACTCTTGTAACAAGTACCGAGTCCCAGCCAATCATAGCAGCCAAGTTTTGGCCAAATCTTCAACCCAGTGTTCAAATTAGGCAAACCAGAGCAGTAACCAATCACCTGTTTGCGTACCTCTCTTCCCCTTTCTGCCCATCACCTTCCCTTTTCCGGCCACAAATGTTAACCAATCGTGTGGCAACCCCATAGCCCAGAGTTGCTCTGAACCTATTCTGGTTCTGGAGCTGCCCGATTCTTGGATTCTTCTTTGCTCGATTAAACTCTGCCAATTTGTCTAAAGTTTCTCTTCCAATTGCCCAAAGCTAGATATTTATAATAGCTACATTTTTTGAATTTTTACTTTTTGTTGAGCATGTTCCTTTATATACATTATTTCATTGAATCTTTATACAGTTCTCTAAAGCATTCTTATTTTTACAGCCTATTTTATAGACGACAAAAAGCTGAATTTTAGCCTACAGATCTAGCACAATTGTTAGGAGGATTTGGGCTCAGATCTGAGTCCATGTGCTAACTTCTGACTATTGCCTGATGGGTAAATTTTGGGAGGATGTCAAACATTTAGACATAAACCTGGAAGCCCAAATATTTATCTTCAGGTAAATTAATGTTCATTCACTCAATACAGGTTATTTCTTCTGTTCTTAAAAGTTCTCGGATAAGAAACTGCTAAAAACACCCCTGCAGTTCAGTCTAGTGATTTTGATTACCACAATATTAAAATACATTATTTTATGAATTCTAGAAATCTCTTTTTCTAGAAAGTGGCAAGAATTGGGTAACCTGGCTTTGACTGAATTTTCAAGGAAGAACACTGTAGGAACTTTTTGTTTCTTTGTTTCTACTAAAGCTTTTGCCATTTCTTATGAAGCTGCTCTATACCACAGTCACTATAGGGCTCAGAAATCTAGGATAAAGTAAAATTTAAAAATTTTTATTACCCAAAATATCTGCAAAAGCTAAAACATTTTATTAGATCACAATTTAGAAGCCATTTCCTCTTTTATAGCGTGTCTGATTATTATTAGGCAGTTTAGAAAAAAATGTCGTTGATGGCTTCTAGGCACATTGGTATATCTTATTAAATGCCATCTGCTTTTGCTTTATTAATGTTTTATTATGGACCATCTGGTTGTTGCTACAGATCATATAGACTCTCCAGTGAATCAGTTGTTGCCCATCAATAAATCATCGAGTTTCATCATTAGCAAAAGAAATTAAACTGTTTAGTAGAAAGAGCAGGGAACCATGACACCCACATCTCAAGGCTGCCCCCAGCTGGTTTTGAGATCTGCATAGCCCTTCTACCTTTCTGAGTCCCCCATGTTTCATCTGAAAATTAAAC